CCACGTGGTTTCAGTGTTCTACCCAGAAACGGTCATGACCCCCAATTCATTAGAGAAACAGACGACGATGTTTTGCTGTTTACAGTGGGTACCTCGGAGGTCGTCTGATATTCTAACCTGCTAAAATCAGTTTGGTGTTCGTTAAGGGCCCAGAAAAACGCATTTTTGTGGCAATTTACCTCTCGTTCTGAACGGACTGGGTGGCTTTTGTTTAGTTGCAGCAGCATATTCCGAAAGACAGTGCGTCCTGTACCCTGGAGGTAAGATTTCGATGCATTGGGTGTGACATCTGTGTAGGTACATCAGTCTGGGCATTACTCTATAAAACTGTGCGGACCGTTCCGTTTGCCGCTATAATCTGTCTGGTAATGTCTATCTTTTTCGCGCCATTCTGCCAAAAAATTAACAAATTTGTAAAGCACTACTTAGCTCATTTTACGCACTGCAAAACTGACCGCTTGCATGCAAAATTTCAAATTCTTCTATGCAGTAGTTGCCGACATACGGATACTTTTTTGAGAGAAACAATCTTTGCCTAAGCCAAGCCCTGACCAGCCCAAAGGAACACCACCCAATTAAATCACCGCATATTACACAATGTAGCAGCGCAACAGACATGGAAGTCAATTAATTGGTAGCGACACACCTGACTACACACTTCTCCATTCACAAATCTTATATGAGATCGGAGTTTTTTGAAAAAAGAACCGATTTTTTTCCTAGGCATACCTTCGAAACCTATGAAATATTCCATATTAAATGTCAAGTCTGTAGATGTGGTCAACATCAATAATTGTATTGTATCACCGGTTTTTCTAATAGCTAGTCGTGCGATGAAACATATGTCAACGAGAGGATTTATTACTTTGTAAAATCTAATATTCCATTATCATAAAAACGTGTTGAAATAAATTGTATTTAAATATTAAACAAACTAAGTTACTTTCTAAGTGACCAATCAATTAAGTAATTAACAATATTTATTATTGTCTGACCAAACTGAGTGATAAAAATTTATTAGTTATTGAACCAATGAAGGAATAAGTAAATGAATAGGCCAACAGATTAAGACTGAAATGCAGCAACATTAATAAATATAAAGAAATTATATCAGAGATTCGCTCGTGGCCTGATAATTTATGGAAAGAGTTTTTTATTTTTCGAGAAAGAGAGGTGACACTTTGGTGATTATGTTTCTTCTTGTATTACTTCACCCGTATCAAATTATCAATAAAATGATTCTAGTGAGGTTTATTATTTTACGTCATGAATACAGCAATGGATTAAGAGTTTAGTAGACATTCCTGTATGATTGTCCAATTCTTGTATCAAATATGCTGCAGCTGATTTGATGTTATTCCCTTACGTGGTGTAGATTTCTGAATATTTTATGAACGTCATTTAAGTGTAGAATGAGGAACCCATAGATATGAATTATATATCAAAGTACAGTGACACTTGACTTATGTCTGTCACAGAGCGGAAGGGATGTGTCAAGGTCTTCATACACACACAGACAGATCTTAATAAGACGAAAACAATGAAGCAACATGTATTATTATTCACTTAACAAATTCAATGCTTAAACAAAGATTGAAAAGATGGAATTTTGACTAAGACACTATATTTTCGTCTTCGACCGTTCAGGCACTGTCAATCAAACCGTGCGCGTAAAGAAAAAGAGAAACAACCCCTAACTCTAAAAAAAGTTGCACCCCTAAACACAATTTTCAAGAGACCCAGAGAACAGTTTGAAGACGACAGACTGAGCACGGAATGTTGTTGCTGCTTTACACCAGGTAAACCTGGTGATGCTGGTGTTATCTGAAATCTTGAGGAATTTCCCTTTTCTTTGTGAAATAAAAAACTTACCCATATGTGCACTACAACATCCAGTAATTTCCGCTTTTCTGTCATCCAGAGCACATAATTTTCTCATTTCCGCTGTTCGTTACTGAATTTTCTTTTAAATGGGTCCAATAATATTCAAGTACTTTGGTTAGTAAGTTTTGATAGAGGAATTTAAAGAGCGATCATTTGTTTTAAATGATAAAAAATTGAATGCTTTACACCAGGGAAAACTGTTGATGATAGTGTTATCCCATTTTCATCATAAAAAACCTGCAACCCAGTTACCTTGTATTTCCACTTTTCTCACATTAAAAAAATGAATGTTTTCATTTGTTCGTTACTGACCGATTTCTTTTAAATGGGTCACCAAGTACCAGTACTTTGGTTTTTAACTTTTAATTAATGATAAATTTTTAAGTCAATCGGCCTGTATATTGATGTAATAAGTATGGTATAGATATTATTCATTGGATATTTTACCATGTGCAGGTGTGTGATTATGACAATTGTTTACGCCACAATTGCAAGATTTAATTTTTTATCCAATTGTGCTTAAATATTTATTTAAGACTATATTCATATAAATGTTCATGAAGATTATCGTGCTGCTGGTTACCATTGATATAAGGGATACTGTAACAAATGTACCTCCGACACCAATGAGGGGGTATGTGATCTCCTACCCACCCCATTCCTGCATAACCTAGTTATATGTAGATCATAAACCTTGTGGCGAGCTTCCCTTTCCAATACCGTATCAGATTTCAGGTTTGGTGTTAACGTTGAGGGTAGTCTTTACAAAAAATAACATCGAACAAAACTTTATTGATATTCACATCACCCAACACCTATTACAGTTGAATAGTACTAATTACGACAAAAGCGTACAGCTAAGGATTAAAACAAACAATGCACAATATTTATATCATAATAATATGTGTATAATGATACTTATATTTTACAGCAAATACCATTGTCCACAATCACATCATTATCTGTACATAGAAATTGATGAAAACGAAAGGGAGAAGCGTTTACCATATCATTTGGCCACAACATGACTTATACTGTGTGCCATAGTTCCCCAGAAAACATTTTTCTCTTTTTCACAATTAAATTCAATTTATTTCTGTACTGGTACATAGATTGTCATGACCTTGTACAATATGATATATTAATGATGACACAATACAATTGGTGCATTACCATTTCTCTAATTGGTAATTATGTTGGCTAGCCGTTTGTGAATGAAAATATAATCTTTATATAATGAACATATGTACTAGTAAATTTATTCATAAAATATTCTATCTAAGATAAACCTTGGAGTGATTATAAATTTACCATAAACATACTATAAAGATATGGCTACAAACATATGCTGTTTACATGTCTGTTAAAAGCCAGTTTGATGACAGATAATGACAATTAATGACAATTACAAAAGACATAGATAAGTAAATAAGTTACACAGATATAAATAATGCGCCATGTTCAGTCCGCTGCCGAGTCGCTTCTCACAACAGTGGTACCATACACTGACATTTTAAGAGATATGCTAAGCGTTACCAAGCAGAGCAACCACTTCATTTCTTTTCTTGAGTGATTTTATTATAAAGTTGGAGAGGGATACTAAAGTATCTTTGTTGGCATTGTCAAATACCTGACATACCGTAATTGACTGTCTGGTGACCTTGAATCAGCTTTTAGGATTGAAGTTTTACTAAAAAAAGGTGACTCGGCCTGCTTTATACATTGGGCATTGGAATATAAAATGGTATTCATCTTCAATTACCCCTTGGGTGCACAGGCGACAGATTCTGTCGCACCTTTTAGTTTTTGGCCTGGTGTGCCGCCCAGGTTCGATGTGGAGTTTATGGTCACTAAGACGCAGTTTAGCAAAATTTTGTTAATTTATCAACATAAGTTGCCCTTTCACACTTTTGGTTAAGTATTCGGAAGACAGACAATTTACAGTTGGCTTGAAGTTTGCTATTGCATATTTGGGTAAAGTGGTCAGTTTGTCTTTGTTTGAAAATTGTGGTGAAGTTTTTTGGAGGTGATTGACTAAGCCACACATCCCCAAGGCCAAATGTGAAAAAGAGTTTCAGATCCCCTCAGACCATGACATACAAGCCGGTCTGAAAGTGTCGACTTTTTCACAATTACTAAGCAAGAACGGAACCTTTCTAAAAGTTTGCCAAAGTTTTCAAACTTGGAAACATTACATGTAGCGCAAAATCTAACATACTTTTAAGTAATTTTTTTGTCAAAGGTAATGGCACAAAAAGACAGCAAAATATCTTTGGTTAAACTATATGGTTTATGAAAGAGGCACAAAGCTTTATTTACGAGTAATATGTTCCTTGTCCTTTCTCGCAAAGACATAACTATACTATGGAGATTTTTATTAATGTATTTAGTGTGCAGAGTTAATATTTTACCATAAAGCAGCATAGTTAATATACGGGCGATAATCCGTCCAATATTGAATAATAAAAGGCTCTGTGAATTGTGCTTCAAAATATTTGAAAATTTAAAAGTGTGATAAGTGTGATAATAGCTCTAGATATATATTACATGTATGTATAACATAAGTAGTTTAGAGGGCCTGTAAAATGTACAGAAACATTTTAGTGCTCAATAAATTATTATTATTATTATATATCTGATAATGTTTGAAAGCAATCTTTGTGAAAAGTTATTCCATAGAGATGTACTAGTTTTAGTATCCCAGCTACATAATATACAGGGTATCTTTAGCTCAGGTAATTGTTAAATATACTAGAACATGTATATAATTGCAGGAATGAATAATAATAATAAATTATTACTCACATATATGGCTTACATAGTGTCTGGCATAGTTGTTGAAGTGTAGGTCAACATCTGACTAACATCACAACCGTTGCAGAGTGTCGAAAAAAAGAAAGGATAAAACATTTAATGGAATTTAAAGATACTCCTGATGGTTATTCAATTAAGTCAAAATGGTGATTTTGGTCAAATGGTCAAAATTACTGGTTTTTTAGAGGGCGAACGGTGCCATTTGGTACGGTTTAGAACTATGATTCAGCTAGTCAAAATTCTTATTTCAAAAGGTGAATATTGGCGTGATTTTTCAGAAATCGAAGGAGGGGGGATGTCAGGACCCCCTGACATCCCCCTAAATCCGCCACTGCAACTTAGGTCCTAAATTTATATTTTTTAAACCCCAATGTCATGATTGTGCACTAAAGGAATTCGTAAGTGGCGTCTCCAAAGTGACGGTATTTCATCACCGCCTCAAGCTTCTTGTTGTTTCCGTCTTCTTTTCCATTTTGGATCCGTAATCCACCAGCTTTAACGTACAAGATCTTCAGGTTTTCAGAGACGTAGCCCTCCAACTTCACCGGACGCATATCACCCAAGGCAGATGGGCAGATGACTGGCAGATCTACGGCAGTAAGACGCTGGTATTCTTCCGCAGACATTTCACACACTTTGCGCAGCTCCTCTACATAGTACTGCTCAATGACTTCTACAGTGAGAAAAACTAACTTCAGACAATATAGAACTGGTGGAACTTTTCTAGTGATTTTTTTTAATCATGAGAAACACAATGTATCATTATTTTAAGACGACATGTATGGTTGGACCTTTGTGGACCCAAACATACAAAACAAAACAAAATGACGGGCCAAGTCTCATTCCCTTCGGCGACGGGAGAGAAACACACTAAGTAATTGTTTTTATATTTTTGGCATGAAGAATCATGTGCACGTGTATTTTGCTGATGCTTGACTCACCCGCCGTCTTAACCAGCTCTGCAGCTCTCAAGAAGCCAATCAATACTTTCACTGACGCTTCTGATGTCTTACTTCTCCACAAGGAAAGCATCTGGAAGCGTTGCTCCCAAGCGTTTCTTTGGTGGTTCATATCAATGTCGTCTATTTCTACGTCTCCTATACCAAGGTGATCTCTTGCCAACATGCGGCAATCGTCCAATTTGATGTGATCACATAACCTGAGGAAGGCTACTTTGAGGAAATGCTCCTGATGGAGAGAAGGAATAGAGACGGAAAGATATTATTACACAGTACACAATAAACTAGATAATAAATACATTATGCAATCATTAAAATTATACTTGAGTCGCCGCATCCTTAGTGGGAAATCGTGAATATTTTTGAGGTTTTTTAAAACAGGAAATGCGGATTTGAAAGATATACTGTTAGTAATTCTTCACTGATACCTCATGTTACTGTGTAAATACTGTAAAATGGACATACCGAGACCTTGTAAAACGAAAACAATAATAATAATAATAATAATAATAATAATAATAATAATAACAGAGAGAATGAATACAATCTCAGAAGAATTAATATCTAGGGTACTTAAGGTTGCTGTAGAAATATTTGATAAAAACTCTGGCATACCTGAACACCTGGGTTGTTAAATCGACACAGGTATTCTGCAATCACTGTTAGGCCCTTCTCTTGTGCAAGCGTGCACGGGGTTTCTTCCTGCTATAAATTAGAAAACAACAGTTGATCTCACACTTACATGTAAGTCTCTTTTCATCCATTTCTCATCTATCTATCTATCTTTCTGAGATACTGTTTATCACTTTAAAGTTATTATTAAAATAACTAAGTAGAGGTCAGGGGAAAAAATCTAAATTGACTAATTTTTTAACATTATAAAACAAGGCAGCAAAGCTGTCAAATGTACAGACAAAAAACAGAAAATAAAGATGCAAAAAAAGGTCATTTTTTCAATTTTGATGCAATAATAAATAATGCTTATAATAGCACTGTCAGTCAACACTGAATTTTAATCATGCACAACAGGTAACATGGTCAATAACAGGAGCGGACCCTGAGATATTTTCTGACAGTATTCCAAAGTATCTATGTTGATTCATCCTCCATTTTGATGGTCTTCCAACAGAAAAAAATAGACACCAGTCAATATAAACTTAATAACCTGTCTTCAAGAAGACCCAGAAGATGGTCTCAATCCACCCCTTCGATAAGATTACAGTTTCAGGACCATGAGAGACTATAGTCACATGATGAAAGTCTCAATATTTGAAAAATGATGACAGTGCATAAAATAATTTTAAATAATGTTTAAAGACATAAAAAAATACAATTGCTTATGTGGAAATACAGAAAATGTGCAGAGCCTCGAGCGGGTGAGAGTTAAAAGTCACAAAAGCAAGTGTTTGAGAAAAAATTGTAAAGGAAAACATAACAAAACTAGAAAACCACCGAGAGTGCAGACCTCTGCCAAGGTAGCAATTGTTGATTATTGTTGATTATTGATTGATTATTGAGCCAGACCACCACTAAAAACTAATCATTGTCCTCTTTGGCCCAATTCT